AGATGAATCCAAGCAACTTTCATTAGCTCCTGCAATAATAATGTCGGATATCTACATGGATGACATTTTATCAAGAGTTGAAACAATAAATGAAGCTAATGAAGTACAATATCAATTAACCGAAATTTTCAAAAAAGGTGGCACAAGTGGTGTAGCAATGATATTGAGCTTAACAATGGCAGCAAATCTACTTACACGTTTTTAAAACTGAAGAGACCAAAACATAAGGAGTTTATTGGAATCCCAAGGAAGATCATTTAAGGTGAAACATGAAGATGTAATTGTGCACACTAAGAGAACTGTACTGTCAACAATTGTGTCTTTATTTGACCCACTAGGATTGCTAGGTCCTGTTATATTGAAAGCAACGATATTTATGCAAAAGTTGTGGCTGATGAAAATAGTCTGGATGATGTTTCTACCACAAGAAACTCAAAAGAAGTGACAAAGATTTATGAAGTCCTTGCACACAATAAATAACATCAAGCTTGAGAGATGAGTCGTAATAGAAGATGCTGTAACAATGTAGCATAGGTTCACGGACAGCTCTGAATTGGCTTATACAGCAGTAATACAGTCAAAAGTTGTTAATTCAGACACAAATAATCCGGACCTCAAAGCTACAAACTTTCTGCGCGTGTGTCGCATAGGCGTTTACGCGTGCGCGTAAGATCTTTACGGCTGTGAATAATGTTGCAGATTGCGTTGTTCCTTAATCTTCAAATTGGATCCGGCTTATTATTTTTTGCAGACTGTTAGAGCAATTTTATAAAAGTAAGCTTGAACTTTCGCTTATGTCAAATAGAATTTCCAATACATATTTTACTAATATGTAAAGGATCTACAAAGCGAAAGTATGTTTCGAAGTAAATTAAACAGAAAGTGGAATTGCTGCAAAAAATGGATAAAGGCATATCCTTTGATTATCTAATCATTCCGAAATATGTTTATCAATTTCACGTTGCTCTGCGGGGGAAGGGAAACGACGCGGCGCGCAATGAATTGGAAGTTGATCTGTCAGCACTATCCTTATCTTCAGGGCAGATGTTTTTATTTTATTTGGCTTATAATTTCTTACTAAATGTAGTATTTCATCTTGATGTACTCCGTCTTTGATATGATTTAAATCAAGTTCCTTGTCATTATAATTCGCTTCCGATAGTGAAGAAAGTGACACAGAGGTTATTGAAAACGAAAAAATTTCGATTGACAAATTAGTCGGTATTCTCGACACAGCAATTATAGGACTTGAACAGCGGAACTTTGTAACTAAACAAAAAATTATGTCTGTTTAATAGAATTAAAGAGAAAGTATTATCACATGAAACGAAGCAACTCAAACAATTTACATTGAAAGAAATGTTTAATAAAGTAAACAAATAAATATTAAGCTTTTTCTTTTTGTAAATTTTGATAACCTTTAGATCATAATTGTTCTTTATTTCATAAATTACGGTTTCATATTTTTAATTTTATAATTTCTGCATGCCATCATACCAGATTAAACTGATGATCTATAATCCGGAAAAATCGATAATCCGGAATCGCCGAAGTCCCGACGAGTCCGGATTAACGACTTTTGACTGTATATGCCAAATCTGTCAATGCGAATGGAGAAGTGAAGATAAGGATGATTACAAAAAAATCCAAAGTTAACCTATAAAGAAAGTTTATGTGCCACGTCTTGAGTTACGTACAGCAGTTCTTCTAGTGAAACTGATGAAAAAGTGCAAATAGCATTAAAATTGGACATAACTTTTCTCTCTATTATTAAAGTGATAGAATGATAATGAGTGATTAAATCTGCTATGGTGGTTAAACAAGGATGCTCATCAATTAAAAAGCTTTGCCATCAACAGAGTAACAATCATTCATGAGATGTCAGATGTGCAGCAGTGGTGACGTTCCCTCGAAAAGTAATCCTGCAGCCTTGATCTTAAGTGCAGTAGAACCTGACAGAATTGTTCACAGCAATCTGCAGTTTTGTAGACCTCAGCTCCTTACTATGCAAGAATATCCTAACTTAGATATTCCATATGCTGTGATCCAAACAAACTGTTCTAGTGAAATTAAAAAACTCAATAATGCTGACCCTTACTTAAAAACATTCAGTGTTGTTAATAATACAATTTTACCCGCTTTTCTTGCTATAAGTAATAATTGTTCAAGCTTAAAGCTTTATTTGCAGGTTTTTGAGAAACTGTCAAAAAAAAAAAAAAAAAAAAAAAAAAAAAAAAAAAAAAAAACCTAACAGGGCCTTTATCAAGGGAAGAAATTAATAAAACTGAGAAAATATTAATCAAATTAATACAGGAGCAATCATTTCTTAGTGAAATCAATTGTATTCTAAAAAATGGGGAAGTAAGTCCTAACAGTCAGGTTAAGTAATTTACATCCATTTATTGTCAAGAGTTGATGGTAGACCTTGAGCATAGTGATTTAAATTATGATTAAAAAATTCCAATTCTGCTACCATCTAATCATACTTAACTGAAATTATAGTTGAATATTATCATGTAAAACATTTACATACTGGACACAATTCTTTATTAAATTACATAAGGGAAAATGGCTAATCTTTGGAATATGGTAACAGGTAGTTTGGCGACATTTTGGTAAGGCGATAAAGATTACTAGCTAGGACTTTAGCAGGGTACATGGATAAAGTCAAGAGAGTCTGCAATGGCATTTTTGTGCAATTCTGGGATGTTTTTTTAAGTGAAAATAGGTCGATGTGTACATGGATACTGAGTATGTGCAATTCTTAAAAACGTGGCAAGCAGTTTGCGATTCTGCACTTTCTCCCAATTTCGCACCTAATCTTCGTCATGATTAAGCACTTTTGTTCCATAAAAGTTCTAGCATAAGCGTAATTCGGCTAGCAGATTGTTGCAGAAAAATGTTGAGTTTAAAAAAAAAAATAAATAAAATTAAAAAAAAATAAAAAAAAAATAAAAAAAAAAAAAAAAAAAAAAAAAAAAAAAACATGCTTTTACTTTGTGAAAACAAAATGGCTTCCAAACAAAAACTAGCAGGTTGCTGTAGCAGGGTTGGTCGCCAAATTTTCGCCAAGTTACCATAATCCAAAGATTAACCGAGAAAATTTTTAGGTAGTGAAAGGTAGAAAATTATGCAGAAAAATTGTGCATAAGTGAGTAATTTACTTTAAAGCTAATTCTAAGTCAACACAACAATTAATGGGAAATTTACCAAAGGAGCGAATTGTTCAAAACTAGCCGCTCAGTATTACTGGAATAGATTTCTTTGGTCATTTCTATATTAAATATAAAAATCGGAGAAAGGAGATGCATAGCAAAATTTATGTTTTAAATTTACGTATATTAACAAAATTTATGTATGTATTTTTACTTGTTTTGTAACCAAGGCAATACATTTGGAAATGGTCACAGATTTGACTTCAGCTCCTTTCATAGCTGCCCTTAAGAGGTTTGTACAAGAGGGAAATGCAGTAAGCTCTACATAGACAATGCGAAAAACTTTACAGGAGCAAATGCAGAGATAAAAAAGATGTTTAGCTGTTAGCTGGTTTAACCAACTAGATAACCCTTTGTCAAAATTCAGAGAGTTCAGAGAATATTGATTGACATTACTACCCTCCTCGAGCTCTAAATTTCAAAGGCCTGTGGGTGGCCGATATTAAATCCTTCAAATATTATTGGAAAAAGTCTCAGGGAGTCAAAAATTAATGTATGAAGAATTTTTAACCTTAATTGTACAAATAGAGATAAGCCCCTGCCCACTTTCTCATCGGGAGGTCAATTACTTTTGTAATTGATCCTGATTTAAAGACTATTAATGAGAAAAGGCTAGCCAATGGCAAAAAATAGCTAAATTATTTCAGAACATTTGGCAAAAATGACATTTGAATTACTTAAGCCACTTACAACAATGAGTGCGTTGGAATTTCAAGAAAGAGAACATTAAAATACGAGACACGGTTGTTTTAAAATCTCTGCCTCCACATGAATGGTCACTGGAGAGAATAACTGATATTTATCCTGGGAAAGACCAAAACGTACGAGTTGTTAAAGCAAAAACTTCTACCGGAAAATTCAAGAAGCCTGTAAACAAATTTTATATTTTACCTTTTAATGATTAATGTAGTTATTTATTATGCATGTACTTATAATTGTGTACTAAATCCATTATCATTGTGAGGTTTATTGTATAATTTTTTTTTTTTTTTTTTTTTTTTTTTGTTATTGTTTGAAAAAAAAATTTAGAATTTTTGAATATTTAATTTTATGTATCTTTAGAACTTTAAAAAAAAATGCGACTGTAACTTGAATGTTTTACAAACATTGCAAGGACCAAGGACATGTTCGACCATAACCGTGTGGTTAAAAGATGCACGCGCATCTCTCGGCTCAGAGTTTTCACAAAAAGAGTGAGAGTGTGTGTGAAGTGAAAACGAGGATCTTTGAATGTGATCCCTCATGGTTAAATACGAGATAAAATGCACATTAGTTAAAGATGTGAGTTAAATAAAGAGAAAATTATTACAGTCCACGTGTATTCATTAATTCATGTGTGTAAGTGAGCTATTATCGTAATAATTATTACAGTGAATATATTTACTGTTTGATCAATACTAATGATTTTATTTGAATATGTCATCCATAATCTTTCAAATGCAAATTAATGTTTTGAATTTCATGATCAAAATATTTAATGAATTCTATCATTCATTTATACAATTTCTCATTCATTTAGCACTCTTAGCAGTTAACCACAGTGACAAATATTGTACAAAAATTAATTACTTGGTTAACATTTTCAGAATGATTAAGCAAATTAAATGGTAATATTCAGCAGAAATTTGCACATGATACAGAAATATATAAATAGGAATAAACTATGTTAATTCCTTTCAAGATTTTTTGTAGACTATTCATTCCTCAATTAATTAAATACTATGAAATTACAGTTTAACATTTTTATTTCGAAATTAGTGTATCTAAATTTAAAAAATAACTTACTTCATATAAAGTTACGATATTGGGATGCTTGCCATGACGGAATAAAATTTCTATTTCTTCAGAGCAATCTCTTCCACATTTTGTTATTATCTGAAATTTAGAGAAATATAACAGTTTTAACTTACTTTATATCTGCTTTTCATAAAACTAAATGGCTAACAAAATATTTAATATAAATTGACATTCTACGAATATGGAAAAATTCACTTCAATAACTCGGTAGTAAGCAAAATATTTGATATTACTGAGACTCCATATTCATTCCTTCACAAAGTCAATTTTTAAAAATATTTTATGTCAATAAATGTTCAAAGCAAATATCAAATTAATACACTGTAAATCTTGCTTTTTATGATACAGTTTTCCTTTCATTATATATGGTAAGCAAAAATTTAAGCACAATTCTACATCTTTCACTGCAGTAGGCCGATTTATGAAACTAAACTTGCATTTTTCGTGTGTTTTCAGTTTAAGAATATGTTAGATTTATACATAGCATCACACTAACATACATACTTTGACACAAAAACATTCAAAATTATAGCCATGTAATATGAATTTGATTTATATTTTATATCAATTTTATAATTTTCTCCTCTTGTTTTTACATAATCTGCAATTCTATGCTTAATCCACTTAAGGTCCATACCTCTTCCCGATTTATGTTTAAAAATTTTTAGTTTTAAATAATTTTTGGTTAGGTTATTCAAATACGAAAGCCTAAGGCATCCTTTGTGAAAGATCTTCTGAGGGAAAACTGACTCATATTGATATTGCATACAGGAAAAACTATAAAAATCAGCCATGCAACCAACCTGTTTGCCTGGAATAGAACCCAAACCAGGTCAAACTACCAGTATTTAGTATTAATCACTCAGCCACTAGTGGAAATAACGCTTATTAATTTTTTAAGAAATTTGAATTGCAACCAATAAAAAATTGCATATCATATTAAAGTAAATCTGTTTTTAGGCATTTTTCATTCATATTGTTACTTTTTTTTTTTTTTACTGACGCCAGTTGTTACATTATTTTCTTCTTTCACATTTGTACGGGGTTCGTGTGGATTTCGAGTGAATAACGACGACACTTGATGAAGTATCGAAACACTTTATTGGCCGGTATTAATCAGGACAACACCAAAATCTCGTTTACACTCATCGAATTGTTATAAACACACTGACACGATCAGAGACACAGCTTTCAGGTTATCAAGCTATCACAGTGGAGACAGCTTCATTGCAAAGCACCAGAGTACAGCTCTCGACTCTGCTCAGTCGTTCTTCGAAATCCACGTACTCTCCATGCTACAGCTCGCGATGCACTCGACGATACACAGAGCACTGCTCCTGACTCTTCGGATTAGTTGTTCCCGGAGCTCAACACGCTCTCTCGACGATGCACTAACTGTGATACACTATGATATTCTTTCGGTGCACTCGACGACCCACTTGGCACTCGCTGCCCGGCTGTAAACTTGATCGACTGCACAAGGATTGACTCGCTAGCCGAGACGCCAACTCGATACTAATTGACTGTGGACCAGCAGGGTTTATATAGCTTTTGGCTTGTGTTTGAGAACATTCTGGGTTAAACTGGTAAGAATTCGTTCCAGAAGGTTCTCCATCCATCTATGGCATATCGCCAATTTTGTCACCAAATGAATGATTTCTCGCCAAATAAGGCAACCTTGCCTTATCTTGCCATTTTATGGCACACCTAAAACTGCTTTGCGAGGAAGCCATCTTACCGTGCCTGTACCTTTCATAACACTGCCCCCTCCCAAGGACTGCACATCCCGGGGAGTACAACCCTTGGTCAGAAGCCAAATTCGATACAAACAAAACATAATAAAACAAACAAATAACATAACTAAAGAAACAATAATTTATACTATGTACAAGTTATATACACAAATTCTACACATAAAAATTTTAAATTTTACAAATTAAATTTTTAAATTAATTTTAATCTCAGTCTTTTCATTAAGATATACCCGGGTCAAATACTTTTCCACTGCAGTTCTCACATGTATTTCTGTTTTGCATATCAGAGTCTGAAGATTCAGTTCTTTCAGACTTGTCATCCACAGGAAGATCCGAGACAGTTTGTTCACCCCTCTGAAGATTGTTTGCATCACGTACAGTTCACCTCAGTATTTTCAGCAGCTGGTACATACACATTTTCCTCCGTTTTCTGAGAACCAGCTCCACATTCTGCCTCAGAGTCATGAACGGAACCTGATTCTTTACAAACAGAAGCATCCAAGTCTTTGTCTGCAAAATCTGCACTATGGGAAGCACACATAGTTTGCAAAGTGGATTATTTTTCTTGCCATACTGGAGCACACTACTTAAGCTGTACATCAGCTTCTCCCATCTCTGAATCACATGCACTTTCAGATGATTCAACTGCTGGCTGCGACTTCGTAACTTCACTATCAGTTTCCACGAACTTAACAATCGCATTTTCCCTTTCTTCCACTTCAGGCATTTGAGAATCAAAAATTACTTTCCCATCTTTTATTTCCTCATGTTTTCGTTCTTTATCTTTAATCTCATCAGTTGTTTCATCTTTCATTTCTTGATCTCCCACAGACAGTTCATTGGCTATATCCTTCATTTCTTCATCCTTTGATTCTTCAGAAGCCACTTCTCTCATATCCACATCGTCTTTTAAGGCTCCAGTTTCTTCAGTAAGCTCCACTTTCACCTGTTGGAGTTGTTCTCATACCTTTTCTTGACCGACAATTATTTCTTCTTCCCGGGCTTTCTTCTCTTCCAGTCCAACTTTCATCTCTTTTAGGGCGGCGACTTTGATCTCAGCTGTCATAACTTTATATCCAGCTTTTATCTCATCATATTCGGCTTTTATCTCAGCCAGCCCGGCTTTCATTTCAGCCTTCATTTCTTCATATCCGGCTTTTATCTCGGCTCTCATCTCTTCCTGTCCGGCTTTCATCTCAGCCCTCCTCGGCTAGTCCATCAAAGTCTTCGTTTCCTCTGCCATGGTCTTTTTTCTTCACGCGGGTCACTGGCGTTCACTCGCAATTCCCACTTCTGATACCAGTTGTTGTGTTTTTCTTTTCTGACACCAGTTGATATGTTATTTTCTTCCTTCACGTTAGTACAGGGTTCATGTAGATTTCGAGTGAATAACGACGACACTTGATGAAGTATCCAAACACACTTTTTTGGTTGGTACTCATCAGGACAACTCCAAAATCTCGTTTAGAGTTGTCGAACTGTTATAAACATGCTGACACGATCAGCGACACAGCTTTCAGGTTATCAAGCTATCATGGTGCAGACAGCTTCACTGCAAAGCACCAGAGTACAGATCAAGACTCTGCTCGGTCGTTCTCGGAACTCCAAGTACTCTCCATGCTACAACTCGCGATGCACTCGACAACACACACAAAGCACAGCTCCTGACTCTTCGGTTCAGTTGTTCCCAGAGCTCAACACGCTCTCTCGACGATGCACTAACCGTGATACACTACGAGACTCTTAGTATATCGCGCTTAGTGCATCGTAGTGTAGTTATCGTCGCGGTTAGTGCATTGTAGCACTAAGAGACTCGTAGTGTATTCCAGGGATTTGCAGTCCTTGGGTGTTACGAAAGGTACAGGTGCGGTAAAATGGCTTCCTCGCAAAGCAGTTTTAGGCATGCCATAAAATCGCAAGATAAGGCAGGGTTGCCTTATTTGGTGACAAAATTGGCGATATGCCATAGATGGATAGAGAACCTTCTGGAATGAATTCTTACCAATTTAGTCCAGAATGTTCTTAAACATAAGCCAAAAGCTATATAAACCCTGCTGGTCTGTAGTCAATTAGTATCGAGTTGGTGTCTCGTCTAGCGAGTCAGTCCTTGCGGAGTCGATCGAGTTTACAGCCGGGCAGTGAGTGCCAAGTGGGTCATCGAGTGCACCGAAAAAATATCGTAGTGTATCACAGTTAGTGCATCGTCGAGAGAGCATGTTTGGTGCACTCGACGACCCACTCGGCACTCGCTGACCAGCTGTCTACTCAATTGACTCCGCAGGGATTGACTCGCTAGACGAGACACCAAGTCGATACTAACCGACTGCAGACCAGCAGCGTTTATATAACTTACAGCTTGTGTTCGAGAACATTCTGGGCTAAGAATTCGTTCCAGAAGATTCTCCATCTGTTCATGGCATATTGGCAATTTTGTCAACAAACTGGTGATTTTTCGCCAAATGTGGCAACCCTTCCTTATCTTGCATTTTATGGCAACCCTAAAATTGCTTTGCGAGGAAGCCATCTTACCGCACCTGTACATTTCGTAACAATATATTTTGGGAGTTTTCCTCCCTCGCATACAGATTTTTTTCATTTTCAATAAAATTTAACAGACTGGCTTCTACCAGCTTAACACTATTTCAAATATTTCAGTTTAAACATGATGTCAAACTATAATTTTTTTGAAAAATTAGCTTAGTTGTAAAACTTTTAAATATTACTTAAAGAAATATGAAGCTTGATTAAACAAATATTTTGAAATCCATAATTTTTGTTTGCTTCTGTTAACATAGCATTTGCATTTTATCTTCGAATGCTGCAAATGCTTTCTGTTCAAAATATGCAATTTTTTTCATTTTTCTCTGTTTACAACTAAGCGAATTTTTATTTTGATGTGTGGTTGATAATATTATACCCTTCAAAGATTAGCCATTTTGCAAGCCGAAGATACATTCTGCAATTAGAAGAGAGACAATGCTTAATTAGGCAGTTATAGAGCAGTCTCTGGATAAAAATCCACTTTAATTTGCAAATTCAAGTTTATGTTAATTACTAACAGTAAATAGCAGAGTTTAATTCATAAGCACAAGTTGCGCATATAAGTTACCATATATTCCAATATATAACATGGACTTTTAATACAAAAAATGAGATCGAAATTTATGGATGAATGTTATATGCTGGATATAATGATAGCTTTAAAAATTAAAAATGATAGCTTTAAAAATTTAAAAAAATAAAAAGCATACAAAAATTTGATTTCTACATTTACCTACATGGCGATTTTCTAGGACCCAATCCGCAACAGTTTCTTCTAGGATA